ACCTCCTGCTCCGCGGACTTAAGAACAGGGGCCATACAGTCCTACCAGTGCTACGAGTCTGTGTGTGCAAATCCCCGAGATTTTTGTTAAGTCCAGCGACAAGTTAACACATCCTGTAAAGGAAGTGATCAATGGTGAGGGCCTGTTTGCTACAAGAGCACTCCAGGCCGGCCTAATAGATCTAAACGATTAATTCTCCAGGTTGACAAACTCTCCCTTATAACTTACGGTACTGTGGCGTGAATGTGAGTGACTGACCTATCCATGCAAATTATAAGTCCAGTGTATGGAATTGTGCCAAAAAACGTAAGTGCAATCATCTGCCCGTATCTGTGATCCCTCTATTATTATTATTACCAAGGGCAATGACTGATTGGTTATGACAAAGTATAACCAATAACTTAGATGGATGTTGGAAGTTAGTGGAATTCATTAAATCATCATTTATCAAGTACATAACGCATTGAATGCCGGAAGCAGAGCGAAATTCTATGTAGTGATACACCATAATCTCTTGGGTGAGTAACCAGTGTGAAGGTATCCGAGTTCTACGGTAAGAAAGCCACTTTCCTGCATTTAAAACGTAACACTCTGTTTGCCTTATTTCGAACATTAATGCACTGTTTTCTAGGCCGTAGGTCCGGGCTTACAAGTACCCCTAGGTCCCTTTCACACGTCGACTTCTCAAGGTTGCTGTTGTTAAGGCTGTATACATTATAAGTATTTGTTCTTCCAATATTAATTACGCTGCACTTGCTGGTGTTAAATTTCATTTGCCATTTTTCAGACCACCCCTGCAGTTTATTTAGATCCTCCTGTAATGCATTTGCATCCTGCCCTGAATTAATTTGCCACCCTATTTTGGTGTCATCCGCAAACTTGCTTATGTCACTGCTGATCCCAGTATCTAGATCGTTTATGTAGACTATGAACAAGAGTGGGCCTAGTACTGACCCCTGGGGAACCCCACTGGTTACACGGCCCCACTCAGATTTAACACCATCTACGCTGACCCTCTGCGTTCTATCGGTGAGCCATGATTTTTATCCAATTTAAAACTTTCCTCGATACCATGAGCCTTAATTTTTCTCAGAAGCCTCTGATCGCGGTGCCTCTGTCAAATGCTTTGCTAAAAGTCTAAGTAAAATAACACACATCGTAATTTTTGTCATTATCTCTACTACTACCTCGAAGACTTTCCTAAAACGTTAGCATAGATTTGTTGAGACCGAGTTTTCCCTTTGTAGAAGCCCATGTTGAGGAATTAGGTAGATTAATTTGTACTTTCTCTGCGTCGTCCGGATGCTATCTGCCATACTTGATTCAAGAAATTTCCCACTACTGACGTCAAACTGATGTTCGACCAATTTGACGCTGATGCTCTGTCTCCCTTTTTTAATATGGGTACTACATTTGCCTGTTTCCACAAGTCTGGCACAACTCCAGTGTCTAATGATTTTGTAAATAAGTTTACGAGGGGTCCGCTAATCTGTTCCCTACACTCTTTCAAGACTCGGGGGAAAATTTCATCCGGCCCTGGGGATTTTGTTTTCTTTAGTTTATTTATCTTCTTAAGAACATCCTCTTTTCTGATAGTGATATTCTTTAATTTCTCTTCTTCCTTTTCCTTAAATATCAGTTCCACCTCACCGGGAATTTCATCATAAATTTCTTCTGTGAAAACTGATAAGAAGTGGCTATTCAGTAGCTTTTGCTTATTTCCTTCACTGCCTTTTATCACTTCTCCCCTCCCTGACTTTTTAAAATTTAGCTTTGTCCTTGACCTTTGTCCTATATACCTGGAAAAATCCCTTGGGATTCGCCTTGGATTCTCTTGCTATTTTGATTTCATAGTCTCTCTTTGCTTTCCTTACATTTTTCTTAACATTCCTAGATAGTTCATTATACCTATTTTTGAGCTGCTCCTCCCCTCCCTTTAATTTCTTATATATTCCTTTCTTTATTCCTATGTCATGTTTTAAGTTTTCTGGTCATCCACCTTGGCTCATTCTTATTTGGCCTAATTTTTCTGTATGGTATATTTTGTTCTTGTGCTTTATGTAGTATACTAGTGAATATATTATAGTCATGATCAATTGTTGTGTCATCTGTGACCTCACCCCTTCCGACTGGGTACTGACGTGACTGTTCCCAGGTGACCTCACCTAGGTACCTTCTTAACCCCTGATAATCCGCCAACCGAAAGTTTGGGACTCTGACAATATTGTCATTGTTTTTCGTTTCCCAATTTAGGGTGAACCTGATTTCTCTGTGATCACTGTTTCCTAGTTCCTCCCCTACTGTGATATCTCTGATAATATTTTCTTTATTTGTTAATACTAGGTCTAATATATTGTCACCTCTAGTAGGTTCTGTAATTAGTGGTTTCAAAAAATTGTCCTGTACTGCGACTAGGAAGTCTTCAGATTCATAGTCGCCTACAATGTTGTCCCAGTCAATATTTCTGAAGTTGAAATACCCCATAATGCATAGGTTGTTATATTTTGCTACCCTACTCATTTCCTGCCATATGGGCTGAGCTGCTTCTTTGCCAAAACTTGGGGGCCTGTAAATCACTCCCATAATTAGTCTTTCTCTTCCTTCCGTGATTTCTACCCACACAGACTTGGTTCCTATTTCACCCTTTATTGAATTATTAATACAACATTTTAATGTATCCTTGGCAAAGAGTGCGACCCCTCCCCCCTTCCTACCTTCCCTGTCTTTGTGAAAAAGGTTGTACCCTTCTATGTGGTACTCTGATAAAAAAAATTTGCTCGCCAGATTCATCCAAGTTTCGGTGATTGCTATGACGTCTACATTCTCGGTACATACAACCGCTCTCAGCAAGTCTATTTTATTTCTAACGCTCCTACTGTTTGTATAGTATACATTTAAACCTACCCTTCCCTGGTCCTGTTTTACCCCTTGTCCTGAGCAACTAATTTTACTTCCCAGGACCTGCTTGTTTTTTGACTCCCACTTTCCCCGACCTCTCTCTACTGGTGAAACCCCCCCTTCGGAGTGACAATTTCACGCTCCAGGGATGCAGACAACGTCTTTACCCCCTCACGAGACAAGTGTACTCCGTCGCGACTGTACAGGTAGTCGTTGCCATAGAATCGTTGCCAGTTATCAATGAATGCCCAACCATTGTTTGCACAATGTTTTTCCAGTCGGCAATTTATAGCAATTACCCTGGACAGCCATTCACGACCAACCCCTCTTCTAGGCAAGACACCACATACTATCGGGATCCCTCCCCTATCTCTAATCTTCCCCAGCGCCTCCCTATACCTCTTGAAAAGTTCCTCACTCCTAACCTTACCTATGTCGTTTCCTCCCACACTAAGACACACTACTGGATTGGTGCCCTCCCCTGACAAAACCCTGTCTAACCTCTCGGTTACATGCCCTATCCCAGCCCCAGGAAAACACACCCTAGTCCTACGTTTCCTATCTCTCGCACAAAAAGCCCTATCTACAAACCTCACCTGGCTGTCCCCAACTACCACGACCTTACCTGTGGGCAGGGTTTGTACAACTGCCCTTTCCTCTCCTTGATCCATACTGTCCTGCCTCTTCTCTTCCTCGCCAGCTTCCTGCAGCACCTGGTAAGGGTTACTACACTCCACACCCTGGTCAGCTTTCCTGAGCCTGACCCTAGTCCCCTTGGAGACAACCACTCTCCACGCCTGCTCCTCCTTCGCAGGTGTCCTGCTAGGCAGGACACCTACCTGAAGGAGTTCCGTCCTGAGGGCTTCATTTTCCCCTTTAGAGTGTCAACCTCACTCCTCAACTGCCCCAGCTGCCTTAACAGAGTGGCAAGGAGGTCGTCTTTCCCCACACTCCCCTCCTCTTCCCCCAAGACACAACGATCCAAGGCGGCCATTTTCCTTGGTCTCTAACGGGAGCACTTGCGGGCACGACCTTCTCCAAGTTGGGTCAGGTAGCAACTTGGGTACCCTTCATTGTTTGTTGATCGTTGTTTTAAAAGGGCTAAAAAATCTTTTCATTCTACTCAAACCAGGCAAATTCCTACATTTAAGAATATTTCGACTGCCTTATCACAATGAATTTGTCCCATTAGTTCAGTCCCTTAAATTATTAAATATTAATGTTGTTTTTAAGTATGACTCTACTATTACCAATATATTAATCAAGAATAGCCCAACCTTGAATGTAAATGGAAGTGTTTACTGCATTCCATGTAGCAACTGTAATGGAAATTATGTAGGACAGACTGGGAAAGCATTGCAACTCAGAACTAAACAGAACAAGTACAATATCAGAACACCATCTGAAAGCAGTGCCCTGTTCGTTCATGTTAGGAACAATAATCATCCCATGGATTGGGAAAACAGCTTCGAAGTGTACAAATCATCAGGTGTCACAGAAAGACTTCTGGTTGAAGCTAGTTTGATTAGGGAATTGAATTCTATGAACCTTAGTGATGGTTAGTACAAAACTGATAATATGTTACACAAATTTATTTGTCAGTGGCCCAAGGTTAAAAATACTTTTAAAGCATTTGAGTTAGATATAGGATATATGATTAGTGGGTCCAATATTTTTGACCTGACTTAACTTGACTAGTCACGTCGCCCTTTCTCTTAAGCTCCTTTGCGTGTGTGGTGGTGTTGGTGTGCGAATTAGTGGATGTCATGTTTATGACCTGACCTCATGTTTAGTAAGGTAACCCTGTGTACTTAGGCCTCTCTCTGTCCATGTAATTCAGTTGCCCCTGTGATTTTATCAAGATTTATCTTATATATATATATATATATATATATATATATATATATATATATGTGTGTGTGTGTGAATGGAAAAGATCTGAGAATAGATCATTGATAACAACTGATTCAATCAAACCCTCAGTGTTGGTATTAATAATTCATTTAGAAATTGTTTTATAAATCCTTGCCAATTACCTGAAGAAACTCATACACAAGCACTAAGCTACGTGTTGCATTATTGTATTACAGATATTAGCCCGACGCAGGTGGGGTTTGCGTTCTTCTCGTCATTCTTCATGGGAGAGGTGGAGGTGAGGCAGGATGAATGGATTCACCTGTGTCTCTGGTATGACCACACCCAAACCACACGACGTCTCTATGTGGCCGGTCACCAGGTGGCCCAGGAGCATTTCACTGCCCCACGACCCTTCTTCTTAAATGGCACTCTTGTTGTTGGTAAGACTCCTGTTGTTTTCATTAACATGTGTATCAAATAACGTGAAAATAAACAGAACATTAAAGATACTGTAGCGTACTGTATGTGGCCAGTTGTCAATTCTCTTTAGTTGTCTATTATCTCTTTGTATGGGCTCACAAACCTACGTACATCTAGATATCTCACACTCAGGAATGAGGTAGGATAGAAACTCACAATGCGTTTTCTGTATATATATATTGTTGTACAGTGCAGTGCTAAGGAGTTACTAGGTGATGAGTAGTTTGCTCAGAGGTCCTGTTGGGCGAGAAGCTTTCTGAGGGAGCTGGTTGGTGAGAAACTGTAGAGAGGTCTTGCTGGTCCAGTAGGTCAGAGTAGAATGTTCTCCCTGATACATACATACATAAAATGCTAGTGACAGGGGGGAAGGAGGTTCAGGGGAAGGATAAAGGGAGGATTGAAGTGAATTTTAGAAGGAGAGAATAGGTGCAGTGGCTAAACACCGCTTGCGTGAGGGAGTATAAGTTGGAGGCAGCAGCAACTCACCTGGAAGCAGCGAGGAGGCGGCAGGACAGAGTCAGGTGAGCGTCAAGTCAAGCGCCAGGTGCGTGTTGGGTTGGGCCATGGTTTCTCAGTGCTTGGTCTGCTTGATTGTGTGTGTTTTTTTTTCTTGTTTGGAGGAAATGTCTTGGTATTCTTGTTAGCTTGAGTTGATTTTCTTCTTACTCTCCTCCTCTTGCTCTCTTGAAGTGTCCATTCATTCGTGTTTGGGTCTTGTTCTTCGTCTTCCTCGTGTCTTATGTCCTCATAGGTGTGGAAGAAGTCGGAGACGGTGAGGTTGACCACGTGGGCTTCAGCTCCATGGGCCTCGTGGTGTTCTTGATTCTGTGTGGCTGGTGTCTTTTCTTGGGTTTTGTTTTCTTGATTTTTCTTTTCTTTTGGTTTTTTCTTGTCTTGGGAGCGTACAGCAAGGAGGTCCTCCTTGTCGCGCAGTTTCTTGTCGAGTCGAGCCTTGGCTATCCTGCATTCCTCCTTCCATTTGGGGCAGGTCCGATCGGCGGAGGAATGTGGGCCGCCACAGGATAGCGCATTTTTTTACTGTGTTGGGGCAGACAGTGTAGCGGTGTCCGGGGCTGCCGCACAGGGAGCAGGTGTCCTCCTGCGCCTCGCACTTATTGACAGTGTCCGTAGTGCTGGCATTTGTAACAGCGTTTCGGTCTGCAGTAGGGCTTGACTGGCACAGTTACCTACACCAGTTGAGCCTCCTTGGGTAAGGTTGCATGGTGTCCGATGAGGGCAGTGGTGTCAGACAGCTTCTTGACAACTTGGAGTTGTCCCTTGAGGAGCTCACTCAGCTCTGCTTGGTCCACGTGGGCAATTTCGGCGTGGGAGATTACTCCCAGCTTCAGGTTGTCCCACTTGTAGGCAATCATCTTTATTGGAATGCCGTTGATGTCTGGGATCTCCGTGAGCTGTACGGGCATACCCTTCTCGGCGAAGGTGATCTTGATGCCACCATGGAGCTTCAGTCGTTCCACCTTGGTGACCCCCCTAATCCCATTAGTTTCAAAGAACTTCTTGAGAACTAGGAGGTTTAGTTTCTTGGGGCAGGTCGGCGTATCCAGACGTATCCACACCACGTTGTCAAACTCGTAACCGTTCATGGTGAGAGAGGGTCAGAGAGTGTGATGAAAAGATCTCTCCCTGATCAACCACGCCCATATTTATACAATTCTGCCAACTCAGGAATCGAGGCGAGCATAGCGAGGGAGCCAATCACGGAGGAGAACGCGAAAAGTGCCCGGCTCCCTGATCCTGGCATGTCGTGGGAAGCTATGGCCTCTCCTGGAGTTGCTACGTGTGCGCCCGCACTGGGGAGGAGGTCTACTGGCATTGCTGCCCGAGGATCACACACCCAACACAGACAAAACCAAATACGTGCGCTATGCACTAACCAAATAAACGCAGTCGTGTAAAGCCACGGCACTATCTCTCCCACTACAATTCCCTTCCTAACCTCCTGCTCCTTCCTCTGTCATCTTCCCCTCTCTGCCTTTCGCTACCAACAACTTTTTTGGAGCTTCTAAACTTGGAACTGTACGCTGATTAACTGATAGGCGCACGGCAGGAGCTTAGTCGTCAGTTGTAGGGAAGAGGATCCATTACAATACTCCCCCTCCCCTTCGGGCACGGCGGGAGACTGGATGTTAGCAGGGTTGCGTCCCACAAGTGATACATACCGGGCAGGTGTACGTACGACTCAGCTGCTGCGAGGGACAACTCCGTCGAGTGACACAGAACCTGTGGGAGAATCAGGGGGAGAAGGAGGGTTTTGGATTAGAGGAGGATGCACAGGCATTGTTTGTTGTGCTTCTGTCGCGGCAGGGGCAGTGTCCTCAGGGTCACTGGCTGGGTTGACTGGATCAGGGGCAGGGGCCATGACAGCAACAGGGTCCATGTCAGGATGAGGGTCCACAACAGCAGCAGGGTCCACGTCAGGAAGAGGCTCCATGACAGCAGCAGGGTCCACGACAGGAGCAGGGGGTACCGGAGGGTGAAAAGAGGGTGCCCAGGATTGTTGTGGGCGGGGTGTTGCTGCAGGTGGTAACTGCGCATAGACTGGTGCAGGCGTAATTTGTTGGGGGTGCTGCTGGGTTGGGGACCCAACAGGTAAGGTGGCCAGCTTGACTCGGTCTATGCTGCCGATGTCGTGTCTGCCATTCCGGATAATAGTCAGGAACTTCGCTGAACGGGTGATCGTAGGGGCGTTGTAGTGGGTTGCGGTGAGCATCATGCCTGACGAAAACATACTCGGCTGTGAGTAGCGCAGGAAGGATATGTTCAGGGCGCCGAGGAGGCTGGCGTGGAGCAGTAGCTCTAAATGCAGAAACTGCTTGTCGTAGCTTTTGGAGCAAGTCGTGACGAACAGCAGGAGTGGATTGGTGGAGGTCAGGAGGGAGTGAGAAATCTCCGGGTAGGCGAAGGGGCTCGCCTAGGGTGAGATCTGCTGGCATCCGTGTGATGCACGGATGCCGAGGAACACTAAGGGTAGCGCATCTGTCCAGCTGTAAGGGTCGTGCTGTGCCTTGAGTGCGTCCTTCAGCTGCCGGTGAAACCGCTCTACCATGCCGTTGGATTCAGGGTAGTATGTGGTAGTGCGTTGCCTAGAAGTGCCGAAGAACTGTAGGAGGCTGTGCCAGAGTTGTGACTCAAACTGGGCTCCTCGGTCAGTGATGACGGTTGCAGGGGGGCCGAAACGGGAAACCCAACTGTTCTTGAAGGCGTGGACGGCGGACTCTGCTGTAGCATTGGGCATGGGGATGGCTTCTGTCCACCTGGTGAAATGGTCGATGCAGGTGAAGATGTAGGTGCTACCGCAGGATGGTGGAAGAGGTCCCACAATGTCGATGTGCACTACTTGAAAACGTCCTTTGGGTATAGGGAAGGTTTCTAAGGGGGCCCGTATGTGACGATGTATTTTGGAGGACTGGCAGGCCAGGCACTGGGCAGCCCATTTCCTAGTATCGGTCTTGATGCCGGGTCAGACGACACGTTGCGTGAGGAGGCGCTGGGAGGCCCGCACACCCGGGTGGCTGAGACCACGGATGCGGTCAAAAACAGCGCGGCGGTGGACGTGAGGCACGAACGGTCTAGGCTGCCCACAGGATACGTCGCACCACAACTTGATGTTCATGCCGGGAACAGGGAGTTCTTGGAGTGTGAGGCTGCAGCTTCTGAGAATGGAAGGGGCTGGAGTTACTACTAAGAGCACAGACGTTGTGGGGTACGAGATGTTTGGTTCACACTCAGGATGGGATGGAGAAAGGAAACTCACAATGTGCTCTCTGTATACATGTATTGGATGTACAATGCAGCTTGGTGCTGGGAAGGCAGCATGGTTACAAGCGTTGAGTAGAGAGAGCTGGTTGGTGAGGGTGCTCAGAGGAGGACAAGCTTGTGGGTCACCATGCTCGCCGGCGGGAGCGAGGACCGCCAGGCAGGCGGAGGAGGTGTTACTTGATGGTGGCTGTAGGTAGAAAGAGAGAGGTCACCACGAGGTCAGGTCTTATATAGCGGAGGTAGGCGTGGCTTAATAGTTGACCTCCGTCATGTAAGGCGGCGCTGGTTGACCTAGACCACGAGGCATACACTGGGGAATTCGCGGGGTCGGCTACTCAGCGACAAGCGTTTGTAGGGGAGGAATCCACTACAATACTCCCCCTTCCCTCCAGGGGGTGTAGGAGACTTGTTGTCAGCAGGGTTGCATGGCACATGTGAGGCAGAACGGGCGGTGCATATCTCACATGTGGCACATGTGAGACATAACGGCGAGGGCGTGGATGAGCCGGCCGCTAGTGGAGGCAACTGTCTTGACACACAAGATCTGTGGGAGAAGAGAGGGAGAAAGAAGGTTGTAGAGGTGATGAATGTTGTGTTTTCCTCGCGACAGGTACAGAGTCCTCAGATAGCATGTGGAGTTCCATATACCTAACTGTACTGTACATGAAGAGTACAGTATGGATCAGCAACCTGGGACTTGGTCACAATTTTCGCGATGCCATATGGCAGCAGGGTCTACCATTGGACAATACATTATGGTTGTTGTAAATAGACAAAAAAGGAAGCTTGTACAGTACAGTATTATATGAATTACTAGGCATACCAGCCTAATCCTATAATAACCGGCAGACATACCAGCCTAGTCATATAACAACCACTAGACATAAGTTGACATAACAGCCTAGGCATATAATAACCACTAGACATACCATCCTAGTCATATAATAACCAATACACACACCAAGCCCATCACAAAGGTTGTTCATACCCTACAGGTCAAGAACAAGACGACTATCCAGGAGGTGGCTTCGATTGGTATCAGAGTTTTGGGGGGAAGGTGACGTTGGTGCAGCTGTGGAACAAACCACTCCCTGATGGTGAGATTCAGAAACTGGGGTCATGTAATACAGACACAGAGAGAGACTTGCTTGACTGGGAGTCTGCACCATTTGAACTACAAGACTCACCAAAATGGGATGAATTACCTGTTTCTGAGCTGTGTCGTCCACCTGCACCACCCATAATAATTTTCCCAGAAATGCGGACAATGCCAGCTACCAGAAAGTTGTGTGCAGTAATGGGTGGAGAGCTGTCAGTGCCCCAAAATGCAAAAGAGAATGAATTGATGATGACACTGCTAGAGGATCATAGCTCTACCTGTGGCCGACGGGTTGGGCTCTGGCTGGGGGCTACCGATGAGCAGACAGAGGGAGTCTGGCGCAATATGGCCACAAACAACATTCTCACCTTCATGCCCTTCACATCACGTCAGCCTGATGGACAGAGGAATGAGAACTGTCTATTGCTAGATTACACTCGCGCTGGGTGGTCAGACTGGTCTTGCAGTGTGTCCAATCAGTTCTGTAGCTCTTGCAGCTTCCCTGCCATTCAAGTCTACATCCTCCGTGGACTGTGTGAACCTGACACCACAAACACTGTGTTCAGCCTGCGGGGGTATAGAGGTGGGCGACCCTACTGGCGTGGACTCTTCAATTACCAGGTGGAGTATCAGGACTCTCACTGGATTCTACTGGACCTGTGGACCAACACCACTGTGGCCACCCTGGAGGCGCTCAGCATCACCAAGTACCCCGACGGTATCAACATGTGGACAGTGATGGTGAGGCTCCCTGCTTAACCCAGTTAGTCTGATTATTTATATTATCTATTGAATACTTATATTAGTTCATTATGCAAATAATATCACTCTGAATACTTTTATTGTCAATTAAGCACATAAAAGAAGTCCATTGTGCAAATACTTTCTTGTGTGATGTCTTCTCATACCATGATGATCGACATGTGCCAATCCTCCAGTATCAACAAATTTCACATTAATATGATAACATGAATTCAAGCTTCCATAATTGACATTTTATTAATTTGACCAAGAACAACTGACAGCCATGAGATGCTTATTTCTAGTGTAGGGTAGTCCTTATGCCGGCAGCATCTTGTGTTCTTAGGGCTAGGCGGTCACCCATCCAAGTACTAACCAAACCCAATGTTGCTTAACTTTGCTGATCAGGCAAGGTTATGTACTATACAGTATGTGAAAATCCAACATCCACTTTCTTCAGGAGGATAAGAGACTATGCACAGCAAGGGTGGGAGAGGAGAGGTTGCTCTCCCTCACACGGTGTATGGAGGGCAAATTCACCTGCACTGATGGTTCGTGTGTGAGCGAGTCTCAACGGTGTGACCTACGTAACCAATGCTCAGATGGCAGTGATGAGGATGGATGCCACAATGTGATTACCCCCCTGGGATATCGCTCTAACCTGCCCCCAGCACCTGTCCTAGCCAACCACACTGCCACACCCATCTCCCTCCTCATGCAGCTGGAAAGGTTAGCTACATACATATAGACAGTTTCTGTACATTCCAAAAACAGTACAAAAGGTAAAGTAATAAGTACTGTACAGTATGGAATAATGCTCAGTAAATATGTAGTAGTTAAGTACATTTATGAAGTGATAAGTACTGTAGCAGTTAAATACACTTGTAAAGGTTGTTAAGTGATAGTCATACTCTATGAACTTATTGTATATTGTATGTTCACTACGATGAACACAAGACCTAATGTATGTATAGTAAGAATAAATGTGTACTGTAGGTTTACAAAGATAGGCATGATAATAAGACCAGCTGTATCATGAAATTTTAAAAAGATCAACACAGGACTAATAGCAAGAGTACATTGTAGGTTCAGTAAAATTGACACTCTCAACATGGAGGTGTCACTGGACTACATTGTGGAAGTGAACTGGCTTGACTCCCGCCTCACATTCACCAACCTCAAGCCTCCACCCAAAGTCAACATCCTTCTGGTGAGTCTCACACATTCACTATCAATGTGTTGTTTAATAAACATTTTATGTACAGGTAGAGATATCAAAATAACAATACAGTATAAGGAAACCTTGCTCAGAATCACTGCTATGTACACTACAGTCAACCAAAGATGCCTCAACCCTACCCTGGGTCTCATACTTGCAAATTTACCTGGCAATATCTTGGTAAAGTAAGGCTGTATGTAATGGGGATTGTGATTGATGGATCTATTTTCCATTGTATTACTATCAGGATAAATACAGTATTACACAATCCAAAGGTAGCATTTTTATAATTGTTATTTAAGAACATGATAATTTTCCAAATGTCCATTCTGTATTTGCTTAAATAATGAAGAAATTACATTAATAAATTGGCAGCTCAGCTACAACCAGAGGTGCCACAAGAGTCTCACATCAAATTTTCTTCATTATTTAAGCAAATATACAAACATCTGGAAACTTCTTTTGATCTTAAATAATGATGAATAGTTTATTACAGGTGTATTATGAAAATTCTACCTTTGGATTGTTTAATATTTACCCTAACAGTGATACAGCCGAAAAGAGATCCATCAATCACAATCCCCATTACATACTGCCTTACTTTACCAAGTATTGTCAGCCAAAATTGCGAATATGAGAGGCATGGTGAGGTCGATGCATCTTTGGTTGACTGTATATACCTGTATTGATTTTACTCGCATCTCTAAATTATATGCCTCACCATTGATTCTCACAAAGTTTGGTGTTTGTGTCTGTGTGCTCCAATTCTCAGCTTTCATAATTACAGTACAGGAAGTACAGTATATTAAATGCCTTTCTTAACTACAGCTGTAAGAACAATCTAACCAGGTCACTCCAATAATTGCTGAAAGATGGCAGCCAAAATGGAGTCACAATTGCAAGGAGACTTTAAAAACTAACACATTATGTGTTTCATTCACAGTTTTGAGAGAGAAAATTGCTTAAGATTGCTTGGAAACTTTTGGGTTGTCTCCTTTTTATATCAATGTTCAGGGTATCCAACACTTACTGTGTTTACAATATTTCCAGACAACATTTTAAAAGGGTTTTTTTTTTTTAATGACTGAATATTTATGTGAACTGAAACATAATATGTATCGTACTAGGGTTTCTAGGACATATTTCTAACAGCAGTACAATTTTGCATAATTTGCTCGCCTGAGAAGAAACTTTTTTGTGAGGCCCACTGCTGTGTCATGCTTCACTTATACAGGGGGTCCCCAACTTACAAACGCCCGCCGATACGAACGGGGTTAAACTTGAAATTGACAGTATTTTATTTACCTGATGACTTATGTTTTACTTTCATTTAATGTCTTTTGTCATACTATTTCTTCTTTCCTATTAAATTAAGTGATTTTAGATGTATATAAGGACTTAGGCTATGATATAGTGGGATTTTAAACATTGTTCTGTAAGTACAGTATGCACATAGCATGTGTTCTGTTCTAACTTTTGTACCAACCCGACCTAAGAACGTCCTCAGGAATGGAACCCGATCATAACCCGGGGACCCATTGTACTGTACAGTATTTCAAGAGTTTATTCTTACAATACCAGCAAACAAGGCAAGAGTGGACTGTAGTATCATTTGTATTAGTAAAAAAAGACACAAAAGTAGATTAAGTCACCTATATAATTATGAATTATGATTAATTATGAATTAAGTTTATAATTTTCAGTACTGTACAGTAATATTGTGAGTGAAATTCATCAAGTAGTCTAATTTTTCTTTGTGTACAGTATGATGTATAAAAACTGTCCTGGTTGCATTTGCATTTTGAAAACTACAGTACTGTACCGTATATCTGTACTGTTGTATAGTATTTGAATATAATTAAATTTGTTTATCATTATTATAATTACCTTTACTGTTTTCACAATAAGGGATTGAGGAGCTATAGATTACACCAACATCTACTGTACTGTACTGTATTATACATTACTGTACTCTCAACAAAATACTGAACGTACTGTATATCAATACCCTCATTTTCAAACTTCAAGTTTTGAGTTTGAAGAGGCACTAATTTTCACACTTTTTTCTTTCTTTTCTTTTTCAAGGGGAATAGCCCACTTGGGCACAAGTCATCGACCCAAAATGGGGCAAAAAAATAAGAGTAAAAAGAAATAAAAAATAAAAAAGTAAAAGCTGTTTTTTTTCTAAAAAAAAACCAGTTTTTGTGATATAGTCCAGAATGTGACATCTAGT